CCGCGATTGGGATGGAGAGAGCAGGTGGAGAAGGACAGGGTGAAAGCGGGGTTGCGTGATACTGAGGCGAGTGACAGATGTGGATGGCGTCGAGGGGTATTTCGGTTTCATCATAGGTAGCCAAACGGCAACCCCCGATCTCGGGGAAAATGCCGTCTAAACGTGTGTTGTTGTTGTTGGGTGGGATATTGTGTGGAAAGAAATGGTCAGTGAAGATGAAATGGTGGGTATATAAAGCATGTGTGAGAGCAGCGATAGTATATGGTGGTGAAACTTGGGTGTTGAGGAGAGAGGAGGAAAGTGTATCGTAGAGGGATGAAAGAGCTATGGTTAGGATGATGTGTGGGGTTAAAGTGAAGGATAGGAGGAGTAGTACAGAGCTGATGTCGATGATGGGACTGAGGACATTGTGACATTGATAAGGAGATCGAGATTGCGGTGGTATGGACATGTGTTGAGAAGGGATGAAAGGGTCGGGATTAGGCGAGCGTTGGAGTTCGAGGTTGAAGGAGTGATAGGAAGAGGTCGTCCGCGATTGGGATGGAGAGAGCAGGTGGAGAAGGACATAGTGAAAGCGGAATTGCGTGATACTGAGGCGAGTGACAGATGTGAATGGCGTCGAGGGGTATTTCGGTTCCATCATAGCTAGCCAAACGGCAACCCCCGATCTCGGGGAAAACGTCGTCTAAACGTGTGTTGTTGTTGTTGTTGTTGTCGGCACCATAATTCAAATATATTGGTATGACGACGACCAAGTTATCGAGAAGACTCACGATGCAAGTAGAAACTGGTACAAACGCTATAAAGAATCACATGAAAGAGAATCACAAAACTAAAATTACTAGACAGATCTTGGACCACAATGTTGAAATCTTACATTACAATAACACCCATTACAATTTACGACTAGCCGAATCAATACTCATAGAACAAAGACATCCGATAATAAATTTTCAACAGCGGGCAATTGGAATTCTTCCCACCAATAAATTTAGAAATAGATGAATCATCAATAATGAAAACACGTAAAAGTGTTATAATTTACGACGTTTAAGATTGTAAAACTAAGTACTCCCTTTAAACAAACAAGGAACCAATAAATAGGCACAGTATAAACAAATTTGACCATCTAGGCACAACCACAATATATCAATTTGAACACCGAAGATGGTATAGGAATACCGAAAAAAGAAGATTTTCTGCTCTATCATGCATATAATAAACAAAGATTATGGTTTTGAACTAACGAAACTTGAAATTGATTTACGATGAAACGTTAGAAAAATTGAAAAGTTAAATTAGAAGTTACCTAACGGCGAACATGCTGTAATTTTCATCAACAATTGCATTTCTGACAGCCATAATCATATATCGATTCTGGTTTACTAGTGTAGTTGTTTTTCATCACAAGAGACTACGTTCTTTGGTTGGAGTAGTATATTTTCGTTTTCGTTGGTTGCTTGGACGTTATTTTTTATGATTCTTTTCATGATTTTTTCATCGTGTTCAAAAATGGTTGGCATGTGACTCTTATAATATATTACTATGTTATTTTTTTTATTGTTGTTGGTTGCATTGTTGTTGTTGCTGATTTTGTGTTCTTTGCGTTCTATTATTTTCTGGATCATGTAATTTTTATATTCATTATTTAGTGATTCAATCTAGTTCTGTTCTTCTGCTTTCTATATCAGAAGAGTGCGTGTAGGCTCAGTTTACAAAAACAGAGATCGTGCTCTCTAGATATGTTTGACAACATTCACTATTACCATTGAGACATAAACCTTTGTTTGTTGCTTTGGCGTAGACTGAGGTTTTAAATTCATTTTGCACATTTTGTATTAGTACGTCTAGGAATGGTAGTCTATTGTCAGTTGATTTTTCTATTGTAAACTTTAATTTTGACGAGTTTAGTCGTTGTAGAAGTCTTGCTATTTGATCATCATCTTCATATGTAACAAATATATCGTCAATATATCGGCAGTATATATTACTAACGCCGAACATGCTGTGATTTTCATCAACAATGTATATATATATATATATATATATATATATATATATATTTATATATATATATATATATATGCACGTGTATATATCATGTCAGACTATATTTTTTGCATCAATAGTATATATATATATATTATATAAATGCGCGCGTGTATATATCATGTCAGACTATATTTTTTGCAAAAATTTTCAAACTTTTGCTGTTGCTTTCTACATCTGTTAATTGCACTTGCATTGTAGCGCGAAAATGTATGCATGTATATATACATTTATACTCACACACACACACACACACATATATATATATATATATATATATATATATATATATATATATATATATATATATATTACAAAATTAATCTTACAGAGTAACGGTAGTAATTAATTTTTTGTATGGACTGCTTTGTACTTTTACGGTTCGTATATATATATATATATATATATATATATATATATATATATATATATATATATGTATGTATGTATGTATATGTGCAAAATTTAATCTTACACAGTTATTTATTTTTTTATGGTCTGTATTAAAATTTTGCAATGTTTACATATATATTTTTATGTGTATATATATACATGCATACATATATATATATATATATATTATCTATATTATTTATTTTTATATATTATATACAAACTTGACGGCTTTATTCAATTGAACGTCTCTAAAACATTTATATGTTCGGTGTATGCCTATATGTGAGTGCTTATGAATTAGCTTAGATATATATTTGCACTTACATGGTTCAGCTAAATAGTTTTTTTTTGTAAAACTTGAAACGTTTGCTAATTTTTAATCCTCACATGGGAATTACCAATCTTTAAATTAAGATCCTTTTTTTAAGAGATTTTTACCAACCAGAAATTTTCGAAATTAATATATTTTTATAAACATTTAATGTTTTAAACATGTCTGCAAAACAAAATGATTTGGGTGAACCTCAACTTTTTAACGCACATGATTGCATTACTGATAACGGATGTAACATTACGGCTCAACATACAAGCTGTTGGTATAGTTTTGTTGTTAGTTTGAATATTCAAAATGTAGTAGTTCCATTGAAATTTATTAAATGTTTACTTGTATTATAAGATAAGCCATCGGGATATTTTTCATTGGCTTTCGATAATAACATGCATGTCCTCATTAACAAATTTTATTTTAAAGCAGGTTTGAATGCACGGCTTATATTTGTGAGTGAGATAATTTATCCGTTCAGGGCTTCTAATTATGAACATGAAACTTAATACTAATTCTTCTAAACGTTCTTGAATATAATTCTTGAATATAATTTTACTAACTATGTTAAATAACTAGGCGTTCACAAGTAAACTCGAGAGCATTTTAGCAAATAATTAAGTTGTCTATATATATATATAATTCTTGTTTATATATATATATATATATATATGTGTGTGTGTGTGTGTGTGTGTGTGTGTGTATATATAGGGTTTAGACTATCATAAATACAATTATTTATAAAGATCACTGCTTTTTCGGCATTATTCAACTTGTAGTTGAGTTTCTCAATTTTTCTAACGAGACTTTTATCATCTTGATGAAGTTTATTAAGGTTAAATAAAAAACTTGAAAACATTGAAAAATACTATTGAATCCGTAAAACTCGTATTGTGTTAAAAAATAATTACCGTCAAGACTTGAAATCGGTAATGATGATATGTTGCTAGAGGCAAGTTATTAAATGTCTGAAAAACAACAATGCTAAATTAGTGGATGAAACTATAAATAATAATAATAAATGTCATTTGTTAAGCGCCAGTGCAAGCAACTGAGGCGCCCCCGAAACCAAGAAATTCACAATCAACCATGGTGATATGAGCCCAATGATAAGAAACAAATAATAAAAACAAAAAATAAATTAAAATTGTAATTTTTGTTGAATTAATTAATAGAAATTAAAAGCAGCATCAATCAATCATCGTTTAGCGTCCAGAGACCCAGTGCTTCCGAGGTAGGACGTTGTTTTCTTTGCCACCAATTTTTTGCGCCAAATTAGGCGATCAGTTGTATCCATTTCATTTAAATTTAGAGCTTTCATGTCTTGCTCGTTTGTTTGCGACTAGGACTTCTTTGGACGGCCTTTGGGACGTGTGCCAGGTACTTCAACATCTGCAATAGAAGTTATGGCACTGTTTCCACTTCGTTTGACATGACCAAACCACCGCAGACGGTGTTGCCGGCATTTGTCCTTTATATCATCTAAACCAGCACGACGCAGGATTTCGGTAGATTTGATGTGGTCTTTCAGACTAATTCGTTGCATCCATAGGAGCATTATTATATCGGTTCGTTGAAGTTGTTGTTCCAGTTTGGTTGTCATTGGCCATGTTTCTGCACCATATAACAATACTGGACGTATCACTGATAGATAGTCTTGATCGTAATGGTAGTAGAATGGCACGCCGCATCAATATAGAGGCAAGGAGATGCCATTTATTCCAGCCTGCACGTATGCGTGCTCGAACGGCAGCTTCAGCTGTTCCAGTTCAATCCAGAACACCCCCTAGATATTGAAACGATGTGACTTTCTCTACCTTGATGGCTTTAAAAACATTGCTGTTTCGAATTTGTTGTTGTGGAAGGGGGGATGATGGTACGGGAGGAGTTGGTGTGATGATAAGAGAAGAGTTGGTGGAGAAGGTGAGGCGGAAAAGCAATGGTGTAATAGTAGTGGTGATGGTGATTGGAAAGGTAATAGTGAGGGTAATATCAGGATATGCTCTGCAACAAATTACGAACGAAGAGGAGAAGGATAGGTTTTATGATGATGTTTCTGACAAGATTGGGCAAGCGGGGTTGGATGAGTTTGTGGTGTTGTTGGGTGATTTGAATGGTAATGTGGGGGCGGATGCAGACGGATATGAAGGTGTACATGGGGGATAGGGATATGGTATACGGAATGAGGAAGGGCGTAGAGTGTTGGAGTTGGCGGATGCACATAGCATGGTGGTGGGAAATACCTGGTTTACAAGGGGACCAGCACGATTAGTTACATATAGATCAGGGGAGCATAGGTCAATGATAGATTATATATTGGTAAGGGCGAAGCAAGGAATGTGAAGGTGATACT